AAAAATAAATATGAAGGTCAATTAAATTATAAAACTTGATGTAAAGTTCTTTTTTATTTATTTGGTGCATTTTAAATGTGTTTATTTATTTAGTGGTTCATTTATATGTTTCTTCYTTTAATTCTAATTATGTCAGTGTCGGTACTCCGTACTGCAGAACATGAAGAGGTAATTCAGTGACTGAATCAGGTGTGTTGGAGCAGGGAAAAAGTAAAACGTAGGACTGTGGCCCTCGAGGACCAGGATTGCCCGCCCGTTTTAGATGTTTATGCATCATACTCTAACACATAATACAGACGTTGTTTCCTTTGTATGCTGTCCTTTAGAATCAGGTTCAGAAACCAATAAGGCAGCGTCACCATACAGAACATCTCCAGATGACAATCAGCATCAAAATGTAGCTGATCCTCAAGCAGTGGTGGAAGCAGGTAAGGTTTACTGATGTAACAACCTTTATGTATCCTTATGTCAAGTGCAGGGTTTCCCCTACATGTAAGTGATCGTGGCGCACCGCCACGGCAAAAATCATAGCCGCCACACTTTCAGAATAAATGTTTTTCTTTTTTTTAACAATAGGCCTATATTAGGCTAAGACTGTGTAAATCATATCATATATATTTATATACTATATTTGCGCTCTTATACTAACCACAATCAGACTTTGAAACCCTATTTAAACATCAATGAAAAGTTAAGATGTACTTTATTTTGAAAAACCAACACTGCAGGTTCTTGTGCGCAGCGAGCGCTGTGTCTGTGTGTGTAGTCCCCACAAAGATAGCAAGGCATATGTGATGTGACGTTCGATGGAAACTGTCTGATGCGACAGATTTGTAAGATACTTTTTTTCTTTCAAGGAAGACACGACAGGTGAAGCTACAGCATGTTTACCTTATCAATAATCACTCAGATACAGCAAGAATGACCAACACAGACCCCAGTATGACCGGGAGTCAGCGGCTCCGTGCCTGTTCTAAAAATAGCGCTGATCAGCAGCGCAGCTATAGCTAATGTAACTAACATAATGTCCCTCAGCTTTAACAAAAGTAACCAGAGTTGTTTGTGAACTCAAAAGCACCATAAATATAGACAGCCCCCCCC